TGTCAGTGTTCCTATCCTTCCAGACGAACTGGAAGGAAGAAGGCTTTGCTGGCCTGAATGGGAACCGATCCGAGGACTTGGCCCCAGTAGTACTGCCGTAGGGCACAGTTTGCCGACGGGGGGGGGGGCATTTTGCACTTTAACGACTTCCCATCGACGTGTCGACCCATCTAGACAGCCTCTTCTCGAGTTGACAGGTTTTACCATGATGGCTTGACGAGCTTGCTCCAGCTTCACAAGAGTTCACAGGTTTCACCAGAGTGAGACTTGTAAAGAACTAGTGAAGCAACGAAAGTGCAAAATGCCCCCCCCCCGTCGGCAAACTGTGCCCTACGGCAGTACTACTGGGGCCAAGTCCCGGATCGGTTCCCATTCAGGCCAGCAGAAGCCTTCTTCCTTCCAGTTCGTCTGGAAGGATAGGAACACTGACTTAAAGTCGTCCAGGATCGACCTGACTGACTTAAAGACTGCCTGCCCCCCCCTACCCCAGGTCATTGTATAGGTTATACTGCATTCACTAAAGCTATCCTTTCCTATCCCTTTCGCGGTGGAGCGGAGGTGCTGCGAAAAAATGGGTATGGGTTGCCTGTGATGAGAGCGCGTTCATGCATCGCGATCCAGAGAAGGATTGATCGCGCGGTCTAATCACTCAAGCATCCAATCCCGCGATTCAAGCGATCGGTTCGGAAGTATGAACGCGCTCTAGCAAGGGAGGTCTTTCACGTGGTGCGCTTTTTGGAAATGGTTTGTTGCTTGTTGTAGGGGTCCATACAAGGATCACAAAAATGGGTTTCATTTTTGCTATGCGTTTCTGGGGAGGTCAAAAATTGAGTGAAAAGAATTTGACAAGAATGGGCGATTTTAACTATCTTAATGGGCTCCGTTCTGATTGTAACTTCGAGCATGCATAGTTTAATGGGAAGTGATTGAAAATTAAAAACTTACCAAAAAAAAGTCAGAGAGACTCACCTCACTTCATGTGAACTTCTTGCAAAACCTCAATGCGCCAATCACGTCTGGCGAATAACATCAGACAGAATCACTACTGCTTGCTATAACATAGAAGATTTGAAATCTAAATCGTTCAGGATTCAAATGCCACTATAAAACGAACGCTAGACATACGAAAACCTCTAAGGCTACAAAACTAATCAGAACAATAGAACGTAATAGATTAATGGCCAACATCCAGTAACATGATGAAGAAGAGGAAGCTGTAAAACTTCAAAGAGTTGAGTCTAGGACCAATAATCACAACTAATTCAGAACTGGCATGGAGTGGTGAAGGCGGTTAAATGCAAGAACCAACGAGGCTCACCTTGAAAATGATCTTTTCAAGACCAGTGCTCGAAAGTCAGTGTTTTTTACCCTCCTATACGAATATGAGACTAATTTACGTCATCGAAGGGTAGAAGGCTTTGTTGGCCTGTATGGAAGCCGATCTGTGATTCGAGTCCAGCACCTCGACTGTGGTCTAACGGGCCACTTGCCGCTATACCACCTCCGCCTCCACTTTACCTTGTAAAAGAAGGAAATGTCGTAGCTTAGAGTGTTTTGGGTGCTCTGCACCGAAACTCCTTATTTCTAACGACGGAACATTTTTATCAAGTGCGTCCTGTTCACTAGCTCCACTGACCTGCTGCCCAGTTAGTTTCGTGGTCGCGCCGTGCTACATTTTTGGCAAAATTTCTCTATAATCACGGGGACGCGATAGTTGATCCATAATTTTGACCACTCATTTCCAGAAAGGACAAACGTTAGATAATGCGCCTCGAGAATCATATTAGCTGTCAATGTAGCCACTGTTGCTTACTACAGGGGTAACACTGCCTTAGCCTTGGTTCGGGGGAGGGACATGGAGGTGTATTTGAAATTTATTGGAGGGAATATTCAGTTAATGGGTTGCCGATCATGGGCTCGACTCAAGAATTGTGCAGCTTAAGATGGCGGGACCTGTTGAGAAGAGTGGATGAGAAAGCGTCCACACATCGCTACTCTAGCGATTCAATCCCGCCATCTCAAGCTGCACAATTCTTGAGTCGGGCCCATGATCGGCAACCCATTACCTGAATATTCCCTCCAATAAATTTCAAATACACCTCCATGTCCCTCCCCCGAACCAAGGCTAAGGCAGTGTTCAGACTTCGCGACGGCAGCGCTTCGGTCGCGCGTTCGACGCGATCGATGCAGTCGAAAGCATGCGCATCGATCGCGTCGAACGCGCGACCGAAGCGCTGCCGTCGCGAAGTCTGAACGCTGCCTCAAACTCACTGGGAACTGTGTTTTCTCCACGAGACCATCTCACGGCGACCCTGGTCGTCTGTGTTCTGAAGCCTAAGCCCTCGTTTGGGGAAAGGACGCAGAGGCGTTAGGCTGTGTTCATTCTTCCCGTCAGCGTCCACGTGCTTCTCGAAGGACTAGAAAAGAGTAGGTGTCGGTTTTGCTCATGTTCAAAAGTGCTCGCGAAAATGGTGGACGCTGGCGCTCGCTACATCGATATTCTTAGTTTCCTAGTCGCTGGTGGACGCTGACGCAGAGTATGAATGCAGCCTTACAGAATGGTCTCCAACCATCTACATTTGGAACCACCTTGAAGGTATTGTTGAAGCCCTGTGCGCTAGTGTGTCAGCAAGCGGGAGAATGCGCGACAATCAAGTAGATGAGGTTTAAATGAGTCCGCCCTAGCGAGTCCTAAGTTGTCCCGATTTACGCATCCTCTCGCCTTGCGCACTCTCCACATCGTAAAGTATAAATGCATACCAGCATAAGGAGTGAGTGCAGAGTGCATGTCTCCTTTTTGGCTATGTGAACCTTTTTTTAGATAGAATATATTAATTTAAACATCCTAACGATAGCAACACTTCCCTACTTGATTAGAGACAGTGCGTCATGATGGGAGGTCCTGGCCATGGTCAATTATTTTCTCTATTTTTCCCTAGCGTGTTCGTTCTTTTTTGAATACTGTGTCGTCGAATCGTGAATCTTGGACCTTTGAGATTTGATAAATGCTCTCCCAAAAGTTGTTAATCTTCTTTATTTCGTGATTTGTACCAAATTTTGCAGGACTTCTAACAAATCATGCAGAAAAAGTGCGCAATCTGTGGACGCAGTCTGCCAGATGATGATGTGAGGAGGTCATCACAGATGAAAATCACAAATGGTATCCTAGCGGCTTCCCTATTTGCATTTGGTTGTACTTCTGCGGCTACAGCACAGTTGTCCTATAAAATGTGCTGCACTCAGAAAAAATACATATGCCATAAGCACTTCGTTCAAGCTGTAAGTTGTTCACGTTCAAGGCACAATCTTGTTCGCTGCTGGAGCCTTTCAGGGGGAGGAAGCTTGATGGCGCAGCGCCAACATGCTCGAGGAATTGGTGGAGAACGGGTTGGCACTGCTCCAAACCCGGCCCTCTGACAAGCCCCCAGCATAGCAGCGAACAAGGCGTTATATTGATGAATAGCTTTGTCTTTTTAGGGGCAATGCATGTGTACTGTGATGGCTTTAATGGGAAAGCAGTATACACCGTTTCAAGGTCAGGCTATTGGAGCATACGTTACTTTGGTGGATATACCGATGCATCTCGTCGATCTCTTGAACGCCAATGGCAAAAGTATAGGTGTAAGCTTCATTCATTCCTTTTTTCTCTGGGCTAGTCCGCTATGGGCAACATTTTGTAAACTCTTGTTAATGTGCTTGACCGCTTTGTAAAGACCCGTACAAGCCGCAAAATAGTACCCATTTCGTCTTGTATATAGGTTAAGTATTATTATTAGGTTGGCCCATAAGTAATGGCGTTTTTTGTCACACAAATTTTTATATGGAAAATGACAATTGTTCCCAATATGTTCTACACTGCTTGATAGATAATTTTCTTGTAACTATAAATAGTATAATTGCCTTCTTACTATTCTCGACTTGTGTCGATTTTTATTTCATTGAAAGGAAATTCGGGTCGACCCAAAAGTGAGTTTTCGACAACTACTTTTCGAATTTCGTCTCGAGTCCCAATCTGCAGAAGAAGCTCAAACCTTGTGGTATATATGACCGAAGAAAGATGGCTGTTATGACAGCTTGAAGTTGGTTCAAGCGATCAAGAGGTGGGAATTCGGACCTTGTAAAAGAGCATCGCGTGGGGGCCCTCTTGGGAGGGACTGCCTGCACAACCTACCCACTTATTTTTGAACGTCTAACATCAACTGAGGGCGGTGCTTGATAATGATAAGGAAGCATTCTTATAACTTCTAACGATCCCTCAGTCTTTGCATGATGAATCTTCGAATAACCTAAACTATTGTAAGCAGACATTGTCAGAGACAATAGCCTTTCAGCGGTACAACTGGGCCCATGCGGTTTTAGCTTTTTAATTAGAGGTATAAAAGAAGGCTGTCTAAAAAATGCTCAATTTCGTCGACCTGACACTCCAGTTTGAGCACTTAAATATTAGCGGGAAAGAGAAACTGGAAGAAAACTAAGAAGACTATCGTGTAGGGCAACGGTATAAAACTTCATGACAAAACTTTTCTTCTTTAGCGCAATATTTCGAGTGGGAAAAACGCCATTACTTATGGGCCGACCTAATACTACAGTCGGGACACTTTCCTGCCGCTAAGGAAAATTTTCGAAAAATAGGACTCCTCTTACTTCCTCTTGACCCTTCCCCTTCCCATCCTAATCACTATCTTCTTTTCATAACTTCTTACCATGTTTTCGAGCTTTCTCGGAAAATTTCCAGATTTTCCAAAAGTCGAGCGGAGTAGAGGTAGAGAAGGGGGGGGGGAAGGCGACACGAAATTCCCCCCCCCCCCCCAAATGGTTTCGCCCAAAGATGTGGATACCGGTCGTCAAACATTGAAAATCAGCCATCAGGAAAAATCTTCTCAGATCAAATATGGCCCTGCCTTCCTTCCAACGACTAGATACGACCCCCCCCCCCCGGTGGAGATTTTCAAACGTAAGAGTGACCTGACCACAGTTCACCGCCGACTAGCAGAGAACACTAGACCTTCAAAAACCGCTGACGACACTTTTATTGTGAACCTCTTCTGGAAATGATTGGTTCACCCAGTTTGGAGTTCCCTCTCAAAAGGTTCAGGCAAAAACCCTCGGCGCAATGTGATTCAGGGAGAGGAGAGAGGGTGGACGAGGAACAGTGCAGTGCGACTTCAGTCTTGTTCGCTGCGGATGTTCTGACGTGTCCGAGGGCCAGGTACAGCGCGGCGCCAGCCCGTTTTCTACCAACTGTGGTCGTTTGCCAGCTTCCACAATCGGTGGGGTACTAGCCGGCGCCGCGCCAAGTCCGACCCTCTGACACGCCTCATCATCTGCAGCGAATGATTCTATAAGTCCGCCCTAGAAAGCTGAGTCGCTTCAACTCTGCTCGTCGGCTGTGCTAGGCATTCTCTGGTTGAAGGCAGTTAGGCGAGCTACTTCCTTCTCTGCCGCGCCCTTCCCGAACTATTATAAATTAGCCTTTCCACGAACCTCTTTGGAGCCTACTCTTCATTCCTGCGCTTATAACCTCTTCTTCGCATTTTATGGCAATAATTGTAAATATCGTCTTACTCAGAAAAATAAGGAAAAAGGATAGGAAAATTCGTTGTTATTCCATAGCTGATTTACAAAACCCCTCTCCCTAGCGGAATTGGACTTTTTCTATTATACGGGTTGTCATATTTCTGAATGTATTGTGAGCTTGATAATGGTTAATATTGAAGGTTGATGTTGAAATAACCCCAAAAGACGTGTGGAATTTTCTCAACGATGTACTGCGACGTTACTACGGTACCTACTTATGGCCCTGGCGGAAAAATTGAAGATGTTCCGGTACTGTTCTTTTCATGTGAATGCGTTGAAGAAGTGACGCACAGTTCAGTCATTTAGATCGAGGCAGATCGCTTTGAAGGAGACGGAACATCCCTTGAGGTCGATGAGAAATATTTAGTCAGTGAAGGGCAACAAGAGGCGAACATCGTTAATTTGGAAGAGGAGGATGTCAAAGAACAAGTGTATTATGATGACGATGATGACGATGAAGTGGAGTCAGTAGCTTCAGAGAAAACGGTAACCTAATTGAGCACGGCGCGTTCATGCCTTGCGATTCGATCGCCCTGGTCGCGCGTTCGAATCGCTCGATCGCGAAGTGTGAACGCGCCCTCACTGTCTAGTTACAACAGAGAAACCCGATTTTAACTTCAATTTTTATAGAATTGTTCCGAGTACGTGCCCGAATCTGACTCAGACTCATCCGATTTCTTGCCTGCGGGAGGAACGATTAAAGAGGCGACCAGTCCGGCTGCACTCACTCAAAGTTACCTTATTGAAGGAGAAATACTGTTAGGGTTATTCAAATATTGTCCGGAATGTGGATTCAAGCTGGAAAAAGTGCAACTGACGGCCGTTGATACGGTCGCTGTTGTGAAGTTCATATGCCCCTTCTGTAAAAGCACAGAAATCAAGCAGTGGGAAAGTCAACAAAAAACTGTCTCACACAAGAGTGAACAGACGTACAAGAGCAATGTTGGAACATCGGTCGCTGCTGTCACTACTGGACTTCCATTCATCGTGAGTTTATTTTAATTTCAGAAGAATTGTTTACAGAATTTACGTCAGTAGTTTGAAACGTTTGGGAAGTTCGAGGTTGAATTCTTGGGCCTTTTAATGTTGGCTTTTGAGTGGGACCATAGTTGAATGCCATTAAGAGTAGAACAAGATCAACTTATCCTGATAGAGTGGGACCTTCGGCTCGGGTCCAATGAAGAGGTTCACATTGCGCGCACATAAAGATCAAAATCTTCGCCGTTGATCAATCCCTTTTTGGCACGCATTCTGCTTCCATTCAGAATCGTAGTCGCCTATACAATGATTTGCGAGGGCAAGTCGATGAATAAGTCAGTGTTCATATCCTCGCAGACGAATTCGGTACCAATTTACCGTCTTTGGAGGCAGAAGGCTGCGATTACGAGCAGGAAGGATCGTGAAGCCGTAGTAAGCGTGCCACTAACCGCCAAAGCACCTCAGCCTCATGCGCGCATATACAAGCGCTCGAGCACTTCACGCTCAATCGACCAGATGTTGGTGCGAATGCCGCGCACGTGACACCAATTGCAGCACCACAACATTCACACTACACCCATCCTGTGGATGTGTCTTTACTGAAGGCACATTCCGCGGCTACTTGAAGATGGGATCGCTTTTGTGTGGGGCAAAGCTGCACAGGGCGTAGCGCTTTTGCCATTCGAGAGTACAGCCTGCAAATGGCTTGCAAAGGTCGGAAATTTTTGCACATTATTGTAAGATTGCTATTTCGCTTTTCTCGCCCTTTTTGATCGTGGGTCTGAGTGGCTCTCGCTGTGGCGCTGGGCGTTGCTGTCCCTGTTCAGAACATGATCCAGAACTCATGGCTCCATCCAGAAGTTGACTACAAACCAAAACCATCCAGGCCTTGACTGGGCGTTTTCAACTGTTTCTTCGGCTTCTTTTTCACTGGTTATGGGAATAGCTCCTGAAATGTTAGACCCCGATTCCCACGATTTTGTTCTAAGCGGCCCACTCATAAAAATTCTAGGGGTACAGTTCTTCCAGTGCTCAATACCTTGTAGCGCTGTTTCTAAATTTAGTCGGTAATTCAGGATCTTCAACGATGGGCGAAACAGTTCAACCTGCCGCTGCCGTCGAAAACATTTTTGTGGAAGGTTTTCGAATGGGTACAACCAGTCATTGAGAAGGTTGCTCTTCTTCATCAGACACCTGTATTTGAAGAGATCACATTCCAGTATACCAATTTCGAGGTATATCTTGCATTTTATATATTGTTTTATTTATTTCACCTACGCAAAGTTGCTCTGCTACAACTCAGTCATTAAAGGCAGCCGGCACGATTATTTGGTGCTCCTCCGTTCTCAATGACTTGAAAATCGATTGAGTTTCCCGTAGGCATCTTGCCAATAACCGCTATCGAAGATACGGCTGCAGTGTGTACTCAGATATCCATGCAGGACACAGCCGTTCATACCATCCTTGCGCATTCATAATTTACTTAGCAAATTGAAGCCAGTGACGAGGTCCATGGGGAAAGGAAAGGCCGTCGTCCATTTGTGGGCGGGCAGACGTTCGGGTCATCATGTTGTAGCTTCATAGAGCCTTATAAGGGCTCCTTCCTTGGAAAAGGCGCTATGCAGCGCCTGCGGATGCGCAGGATCGGCGGAATTCATCTACCAGCGCGTGTAGAGACACATGGTGAAGCGTTCAAACACACATTGGAGGGGTGTATGAGACTTCAGCACCTCTCGATGTATGCGTGGTCGCCCTTCCCCGCCCAACATGCCAGGTGGAGATACAGGGCCGTGAACACGCTATTCCTCCATGCTCCGCCTTACACCTTTTGCGGCGCAGATTCCCGTCCTTCATAACATCCGTTGCAAGCGCGCGTGTCGCGTGCGGCTCCTTGGCACTTTGCCAAGTCCTTTAATTGCGCTCTCAAATACGAGTAAAACGCAATTTCCTGATGCGGATAACATTGGAGGTGCTACAAAATAAGAACAGAAGACTGACGACAAGAGGCCAGAACTCAGAGAGCAACTCGCTGCATCGCAGAATTCACATCCAGAGCGCGCCATTACTTATAGAAAACATGAGAATAAAAACAATCCAAGCGTCCCACTCGTTTATTCTAAGTATTTCTATGGCTTTGGCGCCGGATTCGCGCCGGATCGTAGAAATTTAGGCGATTATCAAATTTGCCTTTCCTTGATTTTTT